ATATCTGGCAGAGAAAAGAGAATGGTGCAGAGGAGGGAATAGGCAAGACACAGAAGGGAGGGCAGCAGAGTGAAGGCCCAAGAGCCAGGCTGCTGAGGTTCCTGGAATCACCTCAGATGCAGTCCAGCCCTCCTGACACTCCTGGGTCCTGTGCACGTGTATCCTGCGATACGACCTGCCCCCATGACCCTGCCCATTGCTTTTTCTGCAAACTGAAGGAGCCTGGGTCAGTGAGGATGTATTTTTATTTGGAGTCTGTGCCCCACTCTGTAACCAACCAGTGTCGCATTGCCAGGCCCTCCTCCCTTCAGGAAACTGGGACGGCTGCTGCTTTGCCTTGCCGTGTGACCTTGGCTCACTTACCCCCGCAGGCAGGGCTTACCTCTCCAGTGAGGTCACTACACGGGTACCTGCCCTTCTGCTGGCAGTGGGTCCTTACCCAAGAAGTCCAGCATTGACAGAGCTTTAGTCCTTGTCTCAGGTCATGGACACGATAATATGTCTAATGAAATTCCAGGATTGTTTCCATTTTAAGCTGGAAAGTTGGGAGCCAAGGACAGGTGAGAATTTTGTCTCATCCAACTTGGGTATTTATTTTATTATAGTATTATATATTTTTTCTGATTCTGCAGGCTAACAATGATTGACATGCCTTCTCTGAATGTTGCAATGAAATGCTGTTGAAAAAAATCCATATTTTTGGAAGAGGAGGAGAAAGAAGAGGAGAAAAAATATTTGACCCACTCTTACTGACTGACTGATCCTAGCTCTTGTGAGCAGGTACATGCTATAATATTTTATTTTTCTGTTTTATGCTTTATTTGTCTATGCATCTATGTATCTATCTATCTTCCTTCTTTCCCCTCGTTCCTCCCTCCCTCTTCCTTCCTTCCTCCCTTCCCTCCCCTCCCCTCCCCTTCCCTCCCTCCCTCCTTCCCTCCCTTCCTTCCTTCCTTCCTTTCTTCCTTCTTTCCTTCCTTTCTTCCTTCCCTCCCTCCCTCCTTCCCTCCCTCCTTCCTTCCTTCCTTCTTTTTTTCTCTTTCTCATGTCATACCACAAAGCTATCTGTCTCCAGCCCTGCCCTTGGCTGCCTCTGCTTTGGCGCTGATGCCAGGCGGACTCTCCCCAATGGTGATCTGGGTAGCTCCAAGCTTAGAACCTCACAGCTCTGTAACTTCAGAGGAAAGAATTTCCCCTTTCCAATAGTTTCAGCAAAAGCCCAGCATTGGGTCACATGCCCAGCCCTGAAGCAGTAATGGAGGTCAGGGAGATGGGTTACGTTGACTGAGCCATAGGCTTAATCCTGGGCATTGGGTACGGGCTCAGCCTCACCCCTGCCAGAAGACTGAGCACGAGGGCAGGATGCTTCTCAAGACTAATCCCGGGAGAGATGCCTGAAGGAACGAGACTGTTAGTTCACAGCTGCCCAGGGCCCTGCTTGCAGCCGTGGGTCTCTTCCTTCCATCAAAACTGTGGGATCAGCCACTCCCAGCTGTTCACCCTGTGTTGTAAGGGGTTGATATGGCTGATCAAAAACTTCTGGGGTGTCTGAAGCTAAGGGTCTGCATCTCTAGGAGGACGGCCCTGTACCATTCAGCAGAGACAGGGACAACCAACCTGTGAGAGGTCCTGACCAATGAGTGGTTCTAAGTGTTAATGTATAAGACGTCCATTTGACTTTTTCTGGCCAGAGAACAGAGAAACCTCTCGGCAAGGATTAGAAACCTCCTGGTGCTTCTTTCCTGCTAGCAGATTATGTTCTTGTGGGAGGAATAAGAGCTGGGAGCCTGGAGTGGGGAGGGGATTGGGCACAGGGAAGGGGGCAAGAGGAGGAGTCCTGCTGATCAAGCCTGGAGGACTGTGCCCCTTCCTGGCCCAGACCTCGCCCTTCTAGCTGAGCAAGGGTTCTCCAAAGTTCTGCTTTTGAGGTTCTCTCAGCTTTTCAGGCCCAGGAGGAAACAGCTCCTGAGAGGGCTGACGTGGGCCCTTCCTGTATGTGGGGAAACAGAAACCAAGGCAGGCCCTTTCTTTTCTGCTGCTCCCCTGGGCCTCTTACAAGCCTCTTGGAGGGTACTTCTGGCAGCTCCCCTCCCACTTGGACACTCCTGGGGTCTCAGGCAGTGCTGTTATGGACTTCACATTTTCCTGTGTCCTCTCCTATCTGCTCAGCTTTCAACTGGCAGGAGGTAGCAGGCTTGTGGATGGTGGCTCTGTATTCTCCACACACACATACACACACACACACACACACACACACAACATGCACATATACACATACCATGCATATATACACACATATATACACACATAAACACATACACATATCAAACACACACACACCACACCACACATAAACATACACACATATACGCACACCACACACCACACATAAGCCTACACATATACACACATACACATATACACACACCACACATATACACACACATACACATATAAACACACACATACACACCATGCACACATATACTCATGCACACACGTATACACACACATGCATACACATATATCACACACATATACACATAATACACATACACATAACCATATACGCAATATTTGGATACACAATACACAAATATACACATATACAAATATACACATGCACACATATATCACACAATACATATATACACATACACACATACACACACACACTCACACACACACACACTGCCATAGCATCAGGAGCTGGGTGTAGGCAGGCACTCCCCTCCTCGCCCTGCCGACGAGCTGTGCTCCCAGCTGGCTGTGGCTGCGTTGACAGTGGCCGTGCATGACACAGGCTCCTGCTGGACCTAAGCTGCTCTCCTGGCCTGGCCGCAGGAGGAGGCAACGTTCAGTGTGGCTTCTCCACCACGGAAGCCGGACAGTGGGCTTCTCAGGTGGTGCTCGGGGCCCTATGGGAGGCTGACTCCAGCATTTGGGAAAACACTGTGGGAATAAGATGCAGGGACTGAAGGTGAAAACGGGAAAAATCAACACAATTTCGATGGAACAAGCAACTTGCAAGGAAACTGACATCTCGTAAATGGGCCGCTGGTGAGATAGGGGACAAAGCCATAATTAGATTTTCATGAGATAAAGAAAATGTGATCCATTTCGATAAGATTGTAACTCTGGACTGATGGGGAACCGACGAGCGAGAATCTACAGTCATCCTCAGAGCTGACTTCAGGAGGGCTGCCTTGACTAGCCATTGGGGCTACTGATTCTGTCCAGCTGGTCACCCCCATGGGGGTGGGAACTTGGGGCTGCACAGCTCCACTGGGATGGCTCACTCCTAGGTCTTGGTCCAGAAGCAGCAGGAACCCCCTGACGCAGTGTTTGTTCCTCCTGGGAGTTACAGGTCTCATTGTAAAGCAGCACGTTGGCTTACCCTGCAGTTTCTTCTGAGTTAGTCCTGAACCTGATCAACTGAGGGGAGCACGGATGCAGTCAGCTTGAGGTGAGATCTTGGATTACGTTAGGTCCTCTTTGATGTTTTCTGACATCACTTCTGACACTAGATGTGTGGTGTTTTCTGACATCAGCTGAGTGTCCTACAATTCAATTCAATTCTGACACCCACCCCTGGAGTTAGCACAGACCCCACAGGTGAGGGGCTCAGTCCCACAAGACCACCCCAACTTCAGATGCCAGGTGCAGGCAGGCTCTCCAGGCAACCACACTTCTGCCCAGACGACGGCAAATCTGGGGAACCCCATGACCCCTCTCAGGTCGATAATTCACTAGAATGACTCACAGAACTCAGGAAAACACTGTAATTACTTTTTTTTTTTTTTCTTTTTTTTGCGGTACGCGGGCCTCTCACTGCTGTGGCCCCTCCCGCTGCGGAGCACAGGCTCTGGACGCGCAGGCTCAGCGGCCATGGCTCACGGGCCCAGCCGCTCCGCAGCATGTGGGATCTTCCCAGACCGGGGCACGAACCCGCGTCCCCTGCATCGGCAGGCGGACTCTCAACCACTGCACCACCAGGGAAGCCCTGTAATTACTATTAAAGTTTATGATGAAGGATACAAATGAAGAGCGCCATGCAGGGGTACAGAAGTACAGAAGGGGCCTGGCAGCATGGGAGCCTCTGTCCCCATGGAGGTGGGGTGCAACACCCTTCTAGTATGTAGGCGTGTTCACCAGCCAGGAAACTTCTTGAAAACTCCTTGAATCTCTCTTGGTGTTTATGAGCTTTTATAACCCAATAAGAGAGGTGAGAGTTTAGTCTTTCTGAGACTATCTCCCATCTAGAAGCTATCTAGGGGTGTATTCTCAGTCCCCTTGTTAGCATAAACTCAAGTGTTGTTGAAAAGGGTTTGTTTTGAATAACAAAAGACACTCCTGTCACTCAGAAAATTCCAAGCATTTTAGGAGCTCTGTTCTAGGGACCGGGATTGAGACGAAATAAGTTTTTTATTCCACTAGAATCCCTTTCTTGTCATGCCAGGTGTGAGGTCCTGAGTGGGCAGAGAGTCACCTCAGCCCTTCCTTTGACCTGCAAACACCTGCTTACACTGACCCAGCCTCCTCCCTTACCTGACCTCCTGTTATTTAAGAGCGTCTGGGGCTGGGATTAAGAGTCAGCCATGGGTCACAGGATGTTTTTTCTGCAAAGCTGAGAAAGAACCCCTGACCCCCTCCTAAGTGGCCGGTGAAAAGTGTCTGTGACATTGAGGCAGAGGTTAGTGTTTGGGGCTACACTGGAGCACGGAGAGGGGGAGGATGGGCCTGAGGGGAGGGCAGAGAATGGTGCTGAGGGAGCGGGAGAATGGGGGTGCAGACTGGCGCCTGGGAGACTTGAGGGGAAGAGCCCAGATGGGGCGCTTCTGCAAAGTCAGCAGCGGAGGGAGGCAGGCAGAGCTGGTTAGGAATGACTCAGGAGCATATAAATCGGGGTATCGCAGCTTCACTTCCCACCACTGCTGGCCCGCAGCGTGACCTTTAGGAGCCCGGGTCAGGGATAGTACTGGAGGATGAAGGAAGCAGAGATGAGGGGTGACGAGGTCCGCTTCTGCACAGGCAACCAGAGTGTCTCCCTGTGCTCCCGAGGTGAGAAAACTGGGGCCCCAGCCCGTCCTCGCCAGGGACTGGCCTGCTGGGCCCCAGCCCCCCGCCAGTTTCCTCAGCCCCTGCTTGGCAGGCTCAGTGCTGGCTCAGCTTCCAGAATTAGCAGGCAGGGCAGAAGGTGAGGCAGGTGAGGACAGAGAGCCTGCGGCCCACACCCAGTCTCCATGTGAAATCTCCCCGGACCCTTTTCCTTGGGGATGGCAACCTGGCGAGAGAAAGAGAGTGAACTTTGAATTTAGGGGGACTGGTTTTGAATCCCATCTCTGCACACTGGGCTGGTCCCATGAGGCCTTAGGGACTCGTCTCTCCCCCTTGTAGTGGGTTTCCCTGTACACTCAGCCCCCAGACTCCCAGGCATAGCCTTTTTAGGACACCCATGGGGTACTTTCTGACCCAGCCAGGGAGGCTCCAGGACTGACCCATGTCAACCCCCAAGGGCTCTGCGTCTCACCCCGGTCAGGATCGATGGAGAAAGGCTGGCCCTGGGGCGCTGAGGTCAGAGTTCCTGCTGGGTCTCCTGCCCTCCCTTCTTTCTGCTTTCATTCAAATGACACCTTGGTTGTGCCAGGTTCTGTGCCCTGTGCACGCCTTCCAGGCTCCAGGCCGTGGTCTTCTCTTAGCCTTTATGTTGCTACCACAGCCTCCACGAGCCCTGGTGCACGTCTGCGAGCACTCATTGCCCTTCCCCAAGGTTAAGTGTGGCAAGTGTTCTCAGCCCCAGCGGGCAGCCAGGAGAGGGAACCCAAGAGGCGGAGCCTGTCTGCCCGCACAGCACAGTCTCCTCCCGGACCCTGGCTTCTCCCCTGCAGGGCTGGACCCCGGGGCAGTGGCTCCTGCAGCCCCCAAGATGCCGAGGCATTTGCAGGCCATCCTGGCCTTTCTGGCCACGACCGTGGTCTCCTCTCTTGTGGCTCTCTTCATTGTGGGTAAGCTCCTAGGTGACCCGAACTCGGCTGACTCTCTCCTTCCTACCTCAAGGTCCCAAAGAGCCCCAGATGTACGCCCTCTACTCCCAGGAGGGTCACTCCACCTCTAGTCCCAGGCCCGAACCAGAGCTTTCCTGGGACCTGACCAAGGCCTGTCCAAGGGGAGCCTCCCAAGAGATGAGGCCCATGAGGGGAGCTCTGAGGGGTCGTTGGTGCCGTCTTCCCCCATCCCCTCTGGAACCCTGAGTGGAGGTAGGGCAGCCTGTTCCTCCAGGCTCAGTGCTGAGGGATTATGCCGACCTGGGAATGGGGTATCTCAGCTTTACAGCACCGAAGACCTGCACTGGAGACATACGCCTCCCTCCAAGAGTTTCCGGAACACAACAGTACTGGGCAGTTCCTCAAGGCACACGACTGTAAGTAGCCACAGTAGGGGGTGGGTGGGAGGGAGCTGGGACCTTGGATGCCCAGACCCTTCGGACACGCTTCTTCCCTGATACCCTCAGGGCCACGCTCCTCACAGAAAGGCATTATCTTGCTTTTTTTTAAAATGGATTTTTTGAGGTATAATTGGCACATAATACAGTATACATATTTAAAGCCTACAAACTAAGTTTTGACATACGTATAAACACGTGAAACATCATCACCATCAAGATAATGAACATATTCAACACCCTCCCCGCAAAGTCCACTTGTACCCTTTGTCATCCTCCCTCTCTTCTCCTCCTTTCGTTCCCAGGCAACCACTGACCTGCTTGCTGTAATATAGATTACTCGGCTTTTTCTAGAGTTTTATATAAAAGGATTTATAGTACATACTCTTCTTTTGACCTTTATCAGTCATGTGATTTGTGAATATTTTCCTTTAGTCTGTGGCTTGTCTTTTTATTCTCTTAACAAAATTTAAATTTTGCTGAAGTCTAATTTATCCACTTTTTATTTCTTTTACGGATTGTCCTTTTGGTCTGTATCTAAGAAATCTGCCTATACCAAGGTCACAGAGACATTCTTCTATGTTTCCTTCTGGAAATTTTATAGTTTTTGGGTTTTACATTTAGGTCTATGATTCATTTTGAGTCAATTTTTTGAATAATGATGCAAGGTTTGGTTTGAAGCTCATTTTTTCTTTTTGCATATGGGTATACAATTGTAGAAACAATTATCCTTTCTCCTTTGTATCTTTGTTGGAAATCAATCGTCCATACAGGTGTGGGTTCTCTATTCTGTTCCATTGATCGAAGGCCCTCCTGGTCTTACCTCAGCACAGTGGCTGAGGTCTCACACACTTACCTAGGCAGGGCTTTAGAAATAGGGCAGGAATCCTCCAGAAAGGGTCCTTGCCTACTTGGGTTCTTCTCCCTATTCCTGAAAGGAGGCTGGAATGGGAGCCTCACACCATGAATGTCTGAACTTACGTCCTAGCTCATGAGGTTCACAGAGGGTGCTAGAAGAACCAGAGAGAGCTGCAGGTGGATTTGGTAGGAAAAACCATGCAGATGGAAGGGGCTACAGAGTTTCCTTGAATGACCCCAATGACCAAAGCCTTTCACTCGGGTCTCCCACATCCTCAAATTGTTCTATAAGGACCCTTGCCCTACATAACATTGGGGGTGCCAGCCCTTTAAAAGGCTGTTGCAGCTCCGGGTTCAGTGTCACCTGGAGGACTTCCACCATAGCCTTATGATTGAGCAGAATGCTTCCTCCACGGGTACCTATTTTATTTTGTTTCTGTTTTTTTCACCCCATGAATTTGTGATCAGAAACTTTCTAAAATTTCTATATTTGTGGCCTACATGTTCTTGTGGGGTTTTTTTGCGGTACGCAGGCCTCTCACTCTTGTGGCCTCTCCCATTGTGGAGCACAGGCTCCGGATGCGCAGGCTCAGCGGCCATGGCTCACGGGCCCAGCCGCTGCGCGGCATGTGGGATCTTCCCGGACTGGGGCACGAACCCACGTCCCTGCATCGGCAGGCGGACTCTCAACCACTGCGCCACCAGGGAAGCCCTGGCCTACATGTTTTTTAGGTAGTAAAAATTGTGTATCAAGAGGCTTCACGCTTAGTGTACAAATACAGTGTAGGACTAAATATGGGCTTTATTCTTACCTATTTTCTTTACCATAATGACCCATCTAGTGGTGAAATTTCAGTGGAATTAAACATCAACAGCTGTCAATGATATCATCAGTTATTTTCAAGTTCAATTACAATGGCAAAATAATCCAGTAGGCAAGTATTTCAGTCCTTCTGCTCCCCAGTTCACATGGGATAGTTAAGTAGGCCTTTATTTCGTTTTTGGGTTTACATTCTCAGGCGCCCATTCCCAGGGTCTGGGTGGTTACAGGCTTCTTGAGGAGAACTCATAGACATTTCCCTTGGAAATCTTAAGAACACTCTGGTTGGCCCACGTAACGAATGGCTTCCCTATGTAATGGGCCTCTTAGCTGCCTTCTCCATTTCCTCCCTCCAGATCCCTACCACTTTGGCAGGGAGGCAGAGCTGCAAGAGGCTATCCAGATGTTTAAAGGGCATGTGGAGAATTCCAGCACCTGGAGCGTGGAGATCCAGATGTTGACGTACAGGGTGGACAATGTCAGTTCTCAGATCCAGATGCTCGGTGGTCATCTGGAAAATGCCAGTGTTGACCTCCAGATGGTAAAAGGCATCTTAAAGGATGCCAGCAACTTGAGTTTCCAGACCCAGATGTTAAGAAGTTCCTTGGAGGGGACCACTTCTGAGATGCAGAAGCTAAAGGGAGATCTGGAAGACACACAAGCTTCACATTCCCAGATCCAGAGTTTCTTAAGAAGCGGTTTAGAAAACACTAGCACTGAGCTCCATATGTTAAGCAGAGGCTTAGAAAATGCCAACACGGAGATCCAGGTGTTGAAGGCAGGGTTAGAAACGGCAGATGCTCAGGTCCGATTGGCAAACAGTAGTTTAAAGAATGTTAATGCCCAGATCCATGTTTTGAGAGGCGATCTGGATAGTGTCAATGATTTAAGGGCCCAGCAGAAAGTTTTAAGAAGTAGTTTGGAAGGTGCTACTGTTGAGATGCAGAAGCTAAAGGGAAGTCTGCAAAATACAAATGCTTTAAACTCCCAGACCCAGGCCTTTATAAAAGGCAGTTTAGGCAACACCAGTGCTGAGATTCAGGTATTAAGAGGTCATTTGGAAAGGGCTGGTGATGAGATTCGCCTGTTAAAAAGAGATTTGGAAACTGTCACTGCCCAGACCCAAACAGTAAATGGTCGCCTGGAACAGACAGACGCTCAGATGCGAGTATTAAAAACAGAGCTAGAAAGCGCCATTGCCTTAAGTTCCAAGATTCAGGTGTTAGATGGTCTTTTGAGAAACGCCAGCCGAGAGATACAGACCTTAAAACAAGGAATGAAGGATGCTGCGGCCTTAAATTCCAAGACCCAGATGTTAGAGAGAAATCTGCAGGAGGCCAGAGCTGAGGTCCACAGGTTGAAAGAGGATTTGGAGAACACCAAAGCAATGACTACGAAAATCCAGGAGGAGCAGGGTAGCCTGGAGACCCTCCGCGCAGCGTCTGCTTCACAGGAGCAGCTCCAGAGGACCCAAAGTAAGTTAGAGGCGGGGCTGGGGAGGGTAGAGTCTCCTGTCCCTTCAGCCTTTTGATTACTTCTACATGCACCCCCCTGGGAAGAAGTGTGGGTGCTGGAGAGGGTCTGGACCCCACCAAAGGCGGCATAATCCCTGCTTATCATCTGACCAGAGTGACAAAACAAACATCTGGGAAACAAATGAGATCTGGTGGAGGTGTGTAACAGAGACAGAGTGTGCTAGCACGGCCTTATTTCCGACTTCCTGCTAGCCCAGATGCTGTGATTTTCCTCAAGTTGTTCACCTTCTCTGACCTTCACTTTTCTCATCTGCAAAGTGGAGACACTAATATCTGCTTCCAGTGAGGATCAAATGAGTTAACACACAGAAAGCATTTAACTAAGTACCCAGCATTCTTGCATTCATCTGACAAAACTGTTTTGAGGCCCTAGGATGTGTCAGGAGCATAAAGATGAACAAGATGTGATGCCTACCCCTGAAGCTTGCAGGCGGGTAGAGCAGCCTTGCACAAAAGGCGTAAGAGGTGCTATGTTGGGAGCAGGTCTAAAAACTGGGGTTGGGGAGGAGCAAAAAAGAAGGAAAAGAAGGGATCTTCACCGGGCTGATGTCCTCTGGTGTAGACAAGGATCTTCCAAGGGGGGAGGAAATCTTCCGGGGGAGAAAGGATCAAAAGATGCTTCGATGGTAATTTGGCCCTTGAACTGAGTCCTGAAGGACCAGTAGGTGCTCGCCAAGCAGATAGGATAAGGGAACAGCAGGTCACAGGCATGGAGATGTGAACCATGAGGTTCCAGAAACTTCAGGCAGTTCTGTCTGACAGGACTGTGGCCAAGTGGGTGGTTGATGAGGCACAGGCTGAAAGGACAGTAGCCAGGGGCCAGAGTGGTGGCTTTCAAACTGTTTTGAATGTAACTACAGCATGAAATCCATCTTACATTGTGACCCAGTATAATTATGTGTCACATACACACACTCACACACACACACACATTTCAGAAAGCAAAACGTTTACCACATGAATGGTAATATTTTATAATCTGTTATTTATAATAGATTATAATCTACTTTAATATTTTATAATATTATTTATTATTATTATAAATATTATTTTATAATCTATTCTCCAAAAAACCCTACAACCTGAGTACAACCCATTAGTGGGTTGATGACTGTGGCTGGAAAAACACTATGTGAAGAAGGAAGGCAGACCTGGAGAGACACCAGCTAGATGCGGAAGGCCTCTGAGCTTGGATTTCTTTTTTTTTTAATGTACTTTTAAATTTTAAAAAAAATGTTTACTTATTTGGCTTCATTGGATCTTAGTTGTGTCACACGGACTCTTTAGTTGCGGCATGCGAACTCTTCGTTGTGACATGTGGGATCTAGTTCCCTGACCAGGGATTGAACCCAGCCCCTCTGCATTGGGAGTACAGAGTCTTAGCCACTGGACCACCAGGGAAGTCCCTGAGCTGGGGTTTTGTCCTTCAGGAAATGAGGATCTATCGAAGGGCTTCAAGGGGGCTGGCTAGATGGGTCTCCAGGCTGAGACAGGGAATAAAAGAGGAAGATAAGCAGCAAGATTTGGACATGCTGAGTCTGAGATGCTTTGGGGGTATTCAAGTGGCCATCATCTGCAGGCTGTCTGGAGAGTAGGAGAGGGGCCCTGCTGTGCAGAGAGATGCAGGAGCCCTGGGTGTGCTGGTTCTGGTTGTGGCAGTGGGAGTGGGGAGTTTGCATGAGATAAAACGCTTCGTGAGGAGGAGGCTGAGGGTGGAAACAGGAAGTCAACCTTTAGGTGGCAAGAAGGGAAAGAGGTGTTTTTGAAGGATACTGGAGAAGGCAGTCTCAGAGGCAGGAGGACAACTAGGAGATGTGCAGTTGGGGAAGCCAAGGAAGGAGAGCATTTCAAGAAGGGAGTGGCTAATTCTGGCAAATATCTAAGAGAGGCCAGGTAAAAAAATCAATAAGCAACCGCTAACTTCAGGCAATTAGTAAGTCATTGGAATAAAGTTTCAGTGGAGAGTTGTATGTGGCCTGGAGGCCAGACCATGGTCAGTGGGGCGTGAATGAGAGATCAGGTGCCCAAGTCATTCAGGGGTCTTAGCTGAGAAGAGGAGAGAGATGAGGCCAAGGTGAAGGGGATGGAAGGGTAGAAGGGGGGATTAAAAAACAACCTGTATCTTTCATACTAATATCACAAAACTTACATATTAATTATAGACAATGTGGCAAATATTGAAAAATAGAAAGATGAGACTATGACAACTTGTATTTCTGTAAAAATGTCCATTTCTACAATAAGAACCCACTGCTAATATTTTGGTGTACTTCCTTGAGAGGGTTTTTCTAAATTAGGATAGGCTTGATCTGCGGGTCAGAAAAAGGCACCAGCGAAGAGGGAGGAGATTGAAGGAGAGAGAGACCCGGGGGGTGGGGTGGGGTTGGGGAGACAGTGGTGGATGGGGGGAGACAGAAAGAGAGAGAGAGGAGAGAATGAAATGCACAGCTGAGTGATTGGCCTTGAAGGGTTGGGATAGTACTTGAACCTCTGAGGCTGGGAGGGGAGGAGGTGTGGAAGTAGATGTTCACCCAGGTTTGCAGATGTGGGTACACGACACTGAGGGAGCTTGACATTTAGTGGTGTCTCTGCAGAGCAGGCGGTCCCTGGTGAGAGAAGAGGGAGGGAATTGTGAGGGAGGGGGCCATTTGGAGCATCTGCTGAAAAGATGGGGCTGACAAATGAGGGGCTTGACAGACAGCGCTGAGGACCAACTCTACTGTTTTGCTCTGCTGCCCTCTGTCAGGAGCCTGGAAGTCTTCTCTTCTTAATGGCTCTCCTATGCTGTCCTCTTAACTCCCTCCTATATCTTGCTACTGCTTTGGTACGGACCAATGCTTCTCCACCTTGGGGACACAGTGGAATCACCCAATGAGCTTTTCAAGAATGATGCCTGGAACGAACCTCCAGAACTCTGACTTTTCTTTGGGGAGAGGGGTGGTTCTGGGATGCAGCCTGGGCATCAGAGTTTTTTAAAAGCTCCCTAGGTGGTTCTAATGGGCAGTTGGGGCTAAGAACCATTAGTTTAACTTCTTCTTAAAGGGCCACACAGTCGATATTTTGGGCTTTTGGCCGAACAGTCTCTGTTGCAACATCTCTGCTGTTGTAATGATGAAGGAGCCAAAGACAGTCTGTAAACTAAAGGGCATGGCTGTGTTCCAATAAAACTTTATTTATAAAAAGAAGCTGCTGGTGGGCTGTAGTTTACCTAGTCCTTGGTTTAGACTGCTGTTTCTCAGACTTTGGAGTGTGTCAGAATCACTTGTTAAAACGCAGATTGTCAAAAAACAATTTTGGATTCAGCGGGTCTGGGGTGAGTCTGAGAATCAGCATTTCTACCAAGTTCCCAGGTGCTGATGCTGCCGGTCCTGGGACCACACTTTGAAAACCCCTGGTTTACACACTCACCATTTATTATTCAGACATTGCAGTTGTGTTGTAATCGGTGTCTCTGGCCCGATTAAGATTGCCTTCTTCCTGTTGAGCGTCCACACCGTCACCAGGCTGACATTTTCACAGTGCAAATCTAAGCATATCATGATCCTTCTTTAAAACCCTTCAGGGCTTCCCACTGCTCACAGGAAAAATCTTCCAAACTCCTTTACATGGGATGTGCGATCTTGTGCTGGTGAACCTGTCCGTGTTCATTTCCCATCCCTTGTGCACTGACCGTTCCAGTACTTGAACAGATCAGGCTATGCCATGCTGTTTCACACCTTCATGCTTTTGCGACTACTCTGTCCCCTGCCTGGAATGCTCTCCTTGGTACTGCCTATCTGGAACACTCTTCCTCAGTCTTTTAAGACTCAGCTCAAGTGACCTCTCACCTAAGGTGTCCTTCCTGAGCCCCACTTCCAGCCCAGGTGAAATAGACCACACCCTCTTTTGTGCCTCTAACATGCAATGGTTTTCAATCAATGCATCTTCAACACCGTTTTGAGCATCTGTCTCATTTACTAGACAGTGATTTCCTTGAGGGCATGAATCATGTCTTACTGATTTCTCTATAACAGTCCCTGATCCATAGAAGTTGAGGAATGTTGAACAGAAGAATAAATGAATGAATAAGTGAGTCTGTTTTGGCACCATTTCAAGCAGCTGTGATAAGGATGATGTTAAAGAAGAGAGAGTGTCAGGACAGGAGAGATGAAACAGCTGAACGAATCAGGGTGTGTGCTCACGGGATGAGCTATTAGAGTCTGAAATTGTGAGGTCAGGCAGACCAGGGGATGAAGAGGTCCTAAGTGTGGTCCTGGTTGTGGGCAGCTGAAGTGGATGGAGATGAAATCAAGGAAATGAGGGACGCTACAGGTTGGCTGTGAACTCTCCCAGGGAAATGGCAGGAATCGAGGTGCAGAGAACTGTCAGGTGATAGCAATGAGTTGGGAAAGAGGGTAGTATAGCTAGGAAGCAGGAGCCTCGAAAGAGCATTGCTGGGTAGCAGAGCTGTCTGAATATCCCCGGAGTGATGGAGCCAGATGTCCTGAGCTGCTGCTGGGCAGTGGGCTGGGAGTGAACCCTCCCAGACCGTGCCCCTGCAGCACTGGGCATCAAGCATTGCATGGGCTTGTGACCCTCAGTGGTCAGTCCCTGGACAGATCAGGGTCCACAGCCAACTCCTGGCTCTCTCTCCTCCCCTACCTTTGCTCCAGATCAACTCCTCCAGCTGATCCTGCAAGGCTGGAAGTCCTACAGTGGGAGCCTGTATTACTTTTCTCTTGCCAAGAAGACTTGGGAGGAGGCTGAGCAGTTCTGTGTGTCCCAGGGAGCCCACCTGGCCTCGGTGACCTCTGAGGAGGAGCAGGTCAGAGCTGTGGGCTTGGGTGGTGCTGCTGGGGTTGAGGTGGTATCAGGGACTTTGGTGCTTTGGCCTTCCCCCTCTTGGAGTGGGCATGGCGGAGATCTTCACGCCGCCTCTGTCAGTCAGGGAGCAAATATTTAGTGAATTGTGATGAGCATCTTGCTCTGGACGTACAAGCACTGACAGCAAACCCCAATGTCCTTAGTGAATGAGGGAGACACCCAGAGGAGTCAGCAGAGAAGAAGGGCAGAGGGAGGTGGCACCCTTAATGTGTTGGGTGCAACCTTCCCTCCCCATTCCCTCATTTTTCTCTCAGTCTTCCTCTCTAGTTGTCAATCTTGATTTTCATGTCAGTTCATCTAATGGCTATGGAAGGTCCATGAGCAGAAGATGCAGGCTTCTTGGGAAGTCCAGACACACATATGAGTTTGAGGACCACCAAAGGCAATAGAGCCCTAGAGTGGCCCATATGCCGAAGCTTCTTATCAGAAGTTACTAAGGTTATTGACAAGGGCCCACTGTAGGTTTGGTCAAATTTAACTTACAGACCTGTCCAACCCTTGTGATTCTCCTGAGACTGTTCTTGTCTGTCCGCCAAAGGACATGCTATTTTGTAAAACACATCTTCTTAAAAAAACTGTGACCAGATCTGTCTTTGTCCCAGTAAGGCCACACTCCTCACCAGGTCAACATGGGAGAGCTGGACTTTCCTGAGGTGACCTGGCTGCTGCCCTAGATCTGGAAAACCATGGAACGCATAGGGAGGGGGCCCAGCTCCTGGAAAGTGGGCTTTATGTCCCTGGGACTAGGGAGGGCGTGGCTTGGATTCCTCTTCCATGCGGCCTGGTGAACAAGCTCCTCACACGAGGTCACACGACCCTGCCTTTCCTCCACAGGCATTTCTGGTACAGTTCACAAGTGCCTCTTACCACTGGATTGGGCTCACTGACAGCGATTTTCAGGGCTTCTGGCGCTGGGCGGATGGCACACCATTCAACAGTGCCGGGAGCAGTGCGTGAGTCCAGCCACTGTCTGGTGCCGTCCCAGGCACTGTCTCGGGCAGGCCTGGCTAGAGACTCTGTCCTGTGTGTGTATCCCTGCCCATGAAGTGTTAGTGTTCTGTGTGATATATGTGTATGATGTGTGTGTGTGATGTGTGTGTGATGTGTGTGTACACCAGCATAGCTGTGATCCTCGCCTGGACCCCTAAACGGGGGCATCAGAACAGGACAGGTCCTGGGCTGGCAGGCAGCCTATGAGTGGGTCTTTCTGTTTTGTTGTGTTTTGTTTGTTTTTGCCTATCCTATACCCTACTACTTAGGCCTGGTCCCAAGGAGCTTTGCCCCCATCTGAAGGTACCTGAATATGAATTCTGGGTGGGGACTTGCAGCTTCAGACACCCTTCCCATCCCTCCTTTCTCAGTAACTAAGGACAACCTCAGCAGAGCCATCCTGAGGACACCACTGGCCCCATCCTGGGGCTACCAGGGTATTAGGGACCTGTGTCACTTCAGCTCCTTATGCCACAGCAGGGCAAAGGGACACTTCTTTCATCTAGCATAATAAAGCCCTCTTGTTTCCAGGTTTTGGGACAGGAATCAGCCGGACAACTGGCTACACGAGAATGGGCATACGGAAGACTGTGTTCACATGCAGCGGAAGTGGAATGACATGTACTGTACCGCCCTCTACCAGTGGGTCTGCAAGAAGCCCATGGGCCGGATGTAGCCTGAAGGCAGGCGGAGCTGAACCCCTTCTCCAGGATGCCTTGGGAGCCTCTGAACTCAGCTTGCTCTCTGGGGCCTTCCACTTGGCCTTTGTTTCTCCTGCCCTGTCCTTTTGAAAAAATCTTTCCAACATGTTTACCTCATGTGACCCAGCACAAGCAATATCTCCTCAAGGCAAGAGCCTTGTTTTGCCTCTGTATCTCCCTTGGCAACCAGCACAGGCCTGTCAGGCAGCAGGTCCTCAATAAATACTCGGATGAACTAAAGTTTGGACTTGTCTCTGTGACAGCTGCCAGGCTTGCTGCTCCCTGCCTTGGTTCCCTTCCCTTGGGGTACCTTCTGTCTTGAAACAGGCATACCTTGTTTAAGGGCTTTATAGCTAGGAACTTCCAGTTGGTTTGTTGAAAACAGCAGAGGTTTAACACAAACTACAGGGACTTGGGAGGGGTATGAATTCCCAGAAAGTCATAGACACCCCAGGTGTTCTCTGTACTTTCTTTGTAGAGGGTGGGGCTGGAGCTGGATTTTTCCAGCCCTTTAAATAACTCCAAAAACTCATTTCTCTCGGGTTGCTGGCTTTATCTTGTCTTCGGACTTCTAACTCTCAGAGCCATTTCTCTGACTCTTCCTGTCCCCATTCACCCTTCCAGGGACTCAGCTTTCTGCCAGCTCAGCTTAGAATGAGAATTTCTAGACCAATTTTATTTTGCAGCAAATACTGGAATCGCATCGTAGGCCTGCCCAGGGAATGCTATGCAAAGTTCTGGAGCTCTTTCTCTTCATTACTCTCCTTTCCACTCTGCTCCCCAATTCTGGAATGCTCAGTCTCCCCAAACTCCCATCTTTCTCTCCTCAGCCTAGTGAGACTGCCGCGCCCTGTGTGGCACCCTTTCCCCTGCCCTGTGGTCTGGAAAAATCCACCAGGAAGAAATCCAGGGAGGCTCTTGGGCTCATCCAGTCAAATCCTCGTTTTGCTCGGCCTGTTATCCGATGTCTGAAAACAATAGTTGCATGTGTTTTGTCCAGTTTTCAGGTTGCTTACAGCAGAAGGGCTGGTCCAGTGACTCCGTCATGACCAGAATTAGAAACCTGTTCTTTTATGACATATTTGGCTGAAGTGGACCTTAATCCGTTTTTATTCATATTTTTCTTTTGGCTTTTTCTTTTATGGTTTCTTCGCTTTTTTTTTTTAACATCTTTATTGGAGTGTAATTGCTTTACATTGTTGTGTTAGTTGCTGCTGTAAAACAAAGTGAATCAGCTCTACGTATACATATATCCCTGTAAGCCCTCCCTCCTGCGTCTCCCTCCCACCCTCCTTATCCCACCCCTCTAGGTGGTCACAAAGCACTGAGCTGATCTCCCTGTGCTATGCAGCTGCTTCCCACTAGCTATCTATTTTACGTTTGGTAGTGTATATATGTCCATGCCTCTCTCTCACTCTGTCCCAGCTTACCCTTCCCCCTCCCTGTGTCCTCAGGTCCATTCTCTACGTCTGCATCTTTATTCCTGTCCTGCCCCTACGTTCTTCAGAACCATTGTTTTTTTTTTTTTTAGATCCCATATATATGTGTTAGCATATGGTATTTGTTTTTCTCTTTCCGACTTACTTCACTCTGTATGACAGACTCTAGGTCTATCCACCTCACTACAAATAACTCAGTTTTGTTTCTTTTTATGGCTGAGTAATATTCCATTGTATATATGTGCCACATCTTTATCCATTCATCTGGCGATGGACCCTTAGGTTGCTTCCATGTCCTGGCTATTGTAAATAGAGCTGCAATGAACATTGTGGTACATGACTCTTTTTGAATTATGGTTTTCTCAGGGTATACACCCAGGAATGGAATTTCTGGGTTGTATGGTAGTTCATTTTTAGTTTTTTAAGGAACCTCCATACTGTTCTCCATAGCGGCTGTATCAATTTACATTCCCACCAACAGTGCAAGAGGCTTCCCTTTTCTCCACACCCTCTCCAGCATTTATTGTTTGTAGATTTTTTGATGGTGGCCATTCTGACTGGTGTGCGGTGATATCTCATTGTAGTTTTGATTTGCATTTCTCTAATGATTAGTGATGTTGAGCATCCTTTCATGTGTTTGTTGGCAATCTGTATATCTTCTCTGGAGAAATGTCTATTTAGGTCTTCTGCCCAATTTTGGATTGGGTTGTTTGTCTTTTTGATGTTGAGAGGCATGAGCTGCTTGTATATTTTGGAGATTAATCCTTTGTCCATTGCTTCATTTGCAAATATTTTCTCCCATTCTGAGGGTTGTCTTTTTGTCTCTTTATGGTTTCTTTTGCTGTGCAAAAGATTTTAAGTTTCATTAGGTCCCATTTGTTTATTTTTGTTTTTATTTTCATTTCTCTAGGAGGTGGGTCAAAAAGGATCTTGCTGTGATTTATGTCATAGAGTGTTCTGCCTATGTTTTCCTCTGGGAGTTTTATAATGTCTGGCCTTACATTTAGGTCTTTAATCCATTTTGAGTTTATTTTTGTATATGGTGTTAGGGAGTGTTCTAATTTCATTCTTTTATATGTAGCTGTCCAGTTTTCCCAGCACCACTTATTGAAGAGGCTGTGTTTTCTCCACTGTATATTCTTGCCCCCTTTATCAAAGATAAGGTGACCATATGTACATGGGTTTATCTCTGGGCTTTCTATCCTGTTCTATTGATCTATATTTCTGTTTTTGTGCCAGTACCATACTGCCTTGATTACTGTAGCTTTGTAGTATAGTCTGAAGTCTGGGAGCCTGATTACTCCAGCTCCATTTTTCTTTCTCAAGATTGCTTTTGCTGTTCGGGGTCTTTTGTGTTTCCATACAAATTGTGAATTTTTTTCTTCTACTTCTGTGAAAAATGCCAGTGGTAGTTTGATAGGGATTGCATTGAATCTGTAGAATGCTTTGCGTAGTATAGTCATTTTCACAATGTTGATTCTTCCAATCCAAGAACATGGTATATCTCTCCAACTGTTTGTATCATCTTTAATTTCTTTCATCGGGGTCTTATAGTTTTCTGCATGCAGGTCTTTTGTCTCCTTAGGTAGGTTTCTTCCTAGATATTTTATTCTTTTTGTTGTAATGGTAAATGGGAGTTTTTCCTTAATTTCTATTTCAGATTTTTCATCATTAGTGTATAGGAAGGCAAGAGATTTCTGTGCATTAATTTTGTATCCTGCTACTTTACCAAACTCATTGATTAGCTCTAGTAGTTTTCTGGTAGCATCTTTAGGATTCTCCATGTATAGTATCATGTCATCTGCAAACAGTGACAGTTTTACTTCTTCTTTTCCGATTTGGATTCCTTTTATGTCTTTTTCTTCTCTGATTGCTGTGGCTAAAACTTCCAAAACTATGTTGAATAACAGTGGTGAGAGTGGACAACGTTGTCTTATTCCTCATCTTAGTGGCGGTTTCAGTTTTTCACCATTGAGAATGATGTTGGCTGTGTGTTTGTCATATATGGCCTTTATTATGTTGAGGTAATTTCCCTCTGTGCCTATTTTCTGGAGAGGTTATATCATAAGTGGGTATTGAATTTTGTTGAAAGCTTTTTTCTGCATCTATTGAGATGATCATATAGTTTTTCTCCTTCAATTTGTTAATATGGTGTATCACATTGACTGATTTGTGTATATTGAAGAATCCTTGCATTCCTGGGATAAACACCCCTTGATCATGGTGTATGATCCTTTTAATGTGCTGCTGGATTCTGTTTGCTAGTATTTTGTTGAGGATTTTTGCATCTATGTTCATCAGTTATCTTGGCCTGTAGATTTCTTTTCTTGTGACATCTTTGTCTGGTTTTGGTAACAGGGTGATGGTGGCCTCATGTAATGAGTTTGAGAGTGTTCCTCCCTCTGCTATATTTTGGAAGAGTTTGAGAAGAATAGGTGTTAGCTCTTCTCTAAATGTTTGATAGAATTCGCTTGTGAAGCCATCGGGTCCTGGACTTTTGTTTGTTGGAAGATTTCTAATCACAGTTTCAATTTCAGTGCTTGTGATTGGTCTGTTTGTATTTTCTATTTCTTCCTGGTTCAGTCTTGGAAGGTTGTGCTTTTCTAAGAATTTGTCCATTTCTTCCAGGTTGTCCATTTTATTGGCATAGAGTTGCTTGTAGTAATCTCTCATGATCCTTTGTATTTCTGCAGTGTCAGTTGTTACTTCTCCTTTTTCATTTCGAATTCTGTTGATTTGAGGCTTCTCCCTTTTTTTCTTGATGAGTCTGGCTAATGGTTTATCAATTTAGTTTATCTTCTCAAAGAACCAGCTTTTAGTTTTATTGATCTTTGCTATTGTTTCCTTCATTTCTTTTTCATTTATTTCTGATCTGATCTTTATGATTTCTTTCCTTCTGCTAACTTTGGGTTTTTTTGTTGTTGTTGTTGTTCTTGTTTCTCTAATTGCTTTAGGTGTAAGGTTAGGTTTTTTATTTGAGATGTTTCTTGTTTCTTGAGGTAGGATTGTATTGCTATAAACTTCCCTCTTAGAACTGCTTTTGCTGGATCCATAGGTTTTGGGTCGTCGTGTTTTCATTGTCATTTGTTTCTGGGTATTTTTTGATTTCCTCTTTTATTTCTTCAGTGATCTCTTGTATTGTTTAGCCTCCATGTGTTTGTAGTTCTTACAGATTTTTTCCTGTAATTGATATCTAGTCTCATAGTGTTGTGGTCAGAAAAGATACTTGATATGATTTCAATTTCTTAAGTTTACCAAAGCTTGATTTGTGACCCAAGATATGATCTACCCTGGAGAGTGTTCCATGAGCACTTGAGACAAAAGTGTATTCTGTTGTTTTTGGATGGAATGTCCTATAAATATCAATTAAGTCCATCTTGTTTAATGTATCTTTTTTTTTTTTTTTTTTTTTTTTGCGGTACGCGGGCCTCTCACTGTTGTGGCCTCTCCCGTTGTGGCCTCTCCCGTTGTGGAGCACAGGCTCCGGACGCACAGGCTCAGCGGCCATGGCTCACGGGCCCAGCCACTCTGCGGCA